TATAAATGAAAAAATAGGTTAACAATATCGAAATCGGGTCCAAATTATGATCGTTTTCAAAATGATAAAGGAGTCAAAATAATGTTATAGGAATTAAAATGGCAGCTACTGTGACATTATGACAGGTATCACGTGATGTATGTGTTGACAGAAGTGTTATCATATTTCAGAAGAAATTTTTTTGCTCATACTCAGGAGATGTCATCTCCCTCATCCGGGGTCCAGGAAGAATATATAGATACCTATAGAGGTTGGGGGATAGTAATGTAATATCAAAAAATGGCTCGAAAATGGATTTTGAAGGCGGTATACTTCGATTTTAAAGATTTATTATGGATCTGAAATCGTATGTACGATGAAACTCTCGATGCCACGTAGTAAAGAGTTAAATCACCCGTTACGTGCTCGATCGTTTGTACGACTAATTAGAGATAATAATGTGCGCTTCCAAGGAAATATTACATGACATATGAAAGTAGAAGGTAACGATACACAATACAAATGGGAAATTAAGGTACATGTAGTAAGGCGAGGCGTCAAAAATAAATATACCAGCCAGCGGCAGCTAACTGCACTTGTGCGTCCTGGCTGCATTTTTTAAATTAGCTCAGCCGGATACCGCTGGCGGTAGGACCCTCAATTAACTCATGATGTCATCATAATGGTCTCCGAACAAAAGCATGCGCCGGCTGCCGCCTTTCGAATGGAAACCGAGCCTCAGATCCCAGCCTGGCGCAAGCCGGCTGGGCTAATAAGTGAAAATTAATTGCCCCAGCCAGGCTTCGGCCGTAATTGCAGCCTCGATGCGCCAATACGTGAGGCGGCAGCCTGCTGGTATCGATATTTTTGACGCCTCGCCTAAATACGCTTCACATGGTTTGCTTTCTTACGCGAGCATTGATCCATAAGACAGTCTTATCACATTGATTGGTTGATTGTGTGTTTATTTTAAATACAAGCTTGCAACCAATATCATTCTTTGAACTTTTATAAATTTAAGTTCAGTTACAGTTGTATACGGTATTATGTAACTTGTGATTCACTCGCTTTGAAGGAACTATCTTTGAGAGAATCTTTGTGAGTCAGAATGAAGGATTGAATAATCTGGGTTAGATCGTCCCCCGTGTATGAAACCTGTTTGAATAACCCTCTAGCCTCAAAATACAAGAAGAGAAATGCAAACCTCGAAAAGTGTTAGAACTGATGCAATCTTGTTAAAGAAATCACAAGGTCACTTAAACATTGTATAAGAAACCTGATTGTATAACCTCCGGGCCTCAGAAAAGGATTAGATCTAAAATAATTGGATCAGATGGTCAGTTATATAATTTATATCAAACCTGTTAGAATAACCCCTTGTCCTCAAAATATCATGAAATATAGAAATCTAGAAGGTAAGATATATGACCAATAGGCAAAGATAACTAGAAGAAGAAAAAAAAAACTCATGGTCGGAAATATTAAGGTCAGTAAAATACAGTAAAATAATCACCAATCAAATGAGTTTTGATCATAGCATATCGTTTAAAAAAAATTACTACTGTCTAAAGTTTCGAAAAGATTTAGAGTTCCTATTCTTGTTTGTTTCATGTTCATAATGTCATTAACGATATTGATGGTTTGAATAATCACCCTTCAATGTAAAAATAACAATCAGTAAAAATAAAACCTTTATCAATTTGGCTGGCTCCAACGTCTCAAATGCAATTTCACCAGTCAGACTGGCAGCGCCCCTTTTTCAACCCATGTTCCCCCTCTAATATTTTCGATTTGTCACCAAATATAAATATAATCCGTTTTCATTTCATTACTCGTGCTGATAAAAATATCTAGCCCCTGTAAACAATCTAGGGCACAGCGGATGCCAGGTTTCAAAACCACAAACGTAAATTCGAGGAGTGCTAATATGTTCTTGACAATATTAGGCTACCATGAAATTGTTCTCACCTCGAGAGTCCGCCCTACTTTACAAACCTAGATCTTTAGAGAATTGCTTAAGCATATCGTAAGTAGAGATAACATCAAACGTCGATAACCTTCTTTGTGAGCTATGCTCTTTCGACGCGTTAGCAACATTCTAGCCGACGTTAATCATAGAAAAGGGTACAAATAAAGTCTTTTTTGAGAGTGCAATTTTAAAAGATTCTAAATCACGGAGTTACATATTAGACGGAGATCAAAGGCAATTGGTGGCATTTGATGGATGCTAATTGAAGCAGGTGACTTTATTTAGTTTAGATGTGATCATAAAAATCACATAGCTCCCTAATTTCACGAAATGTTGTTTCCTTTTAAATTTGTAAGGTGAGGAAACCTTGTATGGTTTATAGACGTGACTCCTAACGACTCGTGTCTGATTATGAAAACAAATCTATTATTAAAATATAGTTATTAAAGTATGCAGACATGACGTATTCCTAACCTAATCGTCATCAACTATATTTTGGGGAAATTAATCGAGACAACGCTCGCAAGTGTGAAGTGTCATATCTTCCGAAGAGACATCCAAAGACAGATACAGGGTTGATTTCCGGTTTCGCGTCAATATTAGGAAGGAATTCACTGGACTTCCTCCTTCTGGGTTAATGGCATTTCTTTCTTTTTGTTTATCATCAGTCAGCAAAGATCTTTTATCGAAATAATTTCCATGATGAAACTCTTGAACATTTTAAGATTGCTGAGTGAGAAATGACTTCAATCATTTTCGTTTCCTCCTTTAAAGCAGAAATAGAACCGGCGAGTATTAGGCGACGACGTATGAAACCTGCAAAGAATCCAACCACCTTTTAGTGACTCCTTATTCTATTGCTGCAAATATTTACAGGTTTTAAATTTTTAATTGAAACGTTTTATTCAAATCGTTTGCATCTTTGTTGTAGTGGTAGTATAGCTTTCAAATTGATCATAATAAATAAACATGATATCATAACATATTATATCATCAGAAGAGAGATTGAAAATTAAGAAATGAATGAATCAATGATAATATAAATAATGTGCGACATTAAAAAATATGTTTATTTAATGTTTCTGAAATATTACTTTCTCAAAATGACCGGTTTTGCCAATTCTTTAGAATTGCGAGTACAACTATATCACATAAAATAGTATTTGTTCTATTTTCTGATAATGGAGTAACATAGAACACAAAATATATAGTTCATGGCCTAATTATTTACACAAGGTATTCTTAAATGCACGTCAAGTGGCTGCTCATCTTTTCAATGATACAAATTGCACTAAACTCAGCCAGACATAAGATTACTATCTTCATCTCGTTGTGGTTGGTTTATCAACCAATGCCTTCCATATTTCCGTCAAGCACAACGTCAAAACCGAGGAAGTGACACCACATTAATTATCACTTTCTTCTTTCACTTATCAGCTAAAATTATTCATGTGCATGGTGATAATAACTTCTTGAATCATTCTCTTGAAATGACGGTTAGTCTCTCGGAGTATGTTGTCTACCTGTTAATTTTGTTATCACTTTACAGGCGGACGAAAAAGTTTAAATCTATTAACGCCCCGACGAAATAACAAACGCCTTATTGCACTTAGTTGTTTCGCACGAGAATATATACTTGTACCGTGGCAGTTCAACATAATTGCTAAATTATGTCAATTAGCCAACATCCCCTGCGTTGCCGCAGCATTCAAGGGAATCTCTAATTCCTATTTTGGAGAAAAATGAATTTATTCCTCTGAGAAGGATGGTTTAAGGCCATGCTGGAGGGGAAGTTTGTTTTGAAATGTTTTCATTAACGGTTTAATTTATGACTGTATGTCAAAACATGAGAAGGATGTTATGCAATCACAATATTTCGCTTCGAAGCTCAGGTTCAACCACAGACTCCTTCGGGTATATCATATTATTAAGTGTCTGGTATGTGGCCTTTGATATTTAGACAATGGTATTTGGACAAATCATTACAGTATTAAAACCATACCGTTATTATAGGGCGATAACTGTTTTCCGTCGATTTATTAACAGATTAATGGTATAATTTATTCTTCGCCTTATTTCATGTACAGTGTATTTCTTTTTTTTACATTTCTCAAGCAATTTTTTTCATGATGTTTAGCAACATTAATCTTAACTACAACCATAATTAGTGAGCAACTAGCCCTTGTAAAGTTGATGTGGCAAAGCTTGCTCTTCCACATGATACGTTGCGTATTTTGTATCACAAATCTCGCCTGTTAATTTGATAGTTTGGGATAATTTCCGATTTTTATATAAAGATTTAGATACAGTTGTATGTCAAAAAGAAAATGTTAGATTGTACAATAAACTTCTCATTCTTGGAACAAATAAAATGGTCTTTACATATAATTTTCAATCAAATCCTCAATAAGTTCGAAAAAGCGTTGTTCGGCATATTTCATACAAAACTGTTTCTTCTACAATATAGACCTACACAAGGGGATGATTACGCCAGTGTTTCACTTTTATTGGGGTTCATAATTTACCTAGCGCGGGAATACCAAGTTATTAATAAATTTCCTGCGCTTCTCCCGTGTAACCATGTTGGTACCCCAAGTAGGGCATTCTGTCAGGATGTGTCTCCTATACATGGAGACGTTAACCCCAACAAAGCCGTCTATAATAATATTGCTACCACGAGAAAATCACAAAGAAAGACAATGGTAAAGCTCAAGTAATATTTAGGAGAAAATTACATGTTTCAGGCATACTTTATAAAACAGTGACAAACAATAGGTCAAAATTATAAACCCCCTTCTGCGCTGGGGAAAAAAATATGGTTAAAATATGTAGAACGTTGCCGGTAAGCTTGGTAAGGTAATGTACAGCAAATTTTTAGAAGGAGGAATCAATACAACTTTCACTGTCTAACGCAGAAAGGGAAAATAAACTTTGATTATCTGATCATACATTGCCTAAGACATAGTATTTAAAAAAGCATTATAAGACAATCGAGGCAAATGGAATGAGCTAGGTACAACATGGTTCTGAAAATATTATTTAAGAGACTTACCTAGTGACTCGAGAACAAACATTATCTCCATAAGGTTCCACGTATTTCATCGAAGCTGCTCCCCCTAAGTGTATTGTTAATATAAAACCTATAATCAACCGTGCAGTCCTGAAAGATAATGTTCTCTCCATGTTTGCGGATCGGCAATTATGTTCCACTAGTCCAAGAAACATGATAATGATAATGAGGTCCTGGTTTATTAAATCATAAAACAGATGGATTGAAGAACTTTCCTTGTTGATAAAGGCATGCCGTTAAAATCCAGTTGGTTTTTATGAAAGTTGATCTCCTTTTGTGTCTTCATCAGCGATACCAACATCCATATATCAGTTCCAGGTCTGGTTAAACTTTTTCCAAGAAGGAGTGATTTGCAGGAGTTGAGAAAGCGAACTGTCCGCCATCAATGCACGGAGTGTACTGTCAAGATCCGAGAGTAGGCTCGTACAGCCGCTCACTGCAGACGGTAGCTGCGGTTAATAAGTGAGCTCGGGAAAGCCCTCCCTATCCACTCTGAGCATGCTGAGGAAACCGCGCGCTTTCTAAACGTTGGCCTCAACCCAGTAATTCAGAGCTCTTGAGTAAAGGAGTAGAGAGAGAGAGAGAGAGTTAATTTGTCATTATTGATACAGTTAAGAAATGTCCACCTGTATGTTCTAAGTTATTTTTAGAGACGGAGGGTTTACCTTTTATAGCAGAATAGTATATTTTAACTTTACTCACGTGGGAGAGATCAACTAATGTAGCCAAAAACTGCATTGCTTTACCAAAATGTAAGAAGTTACAGAAATTAGGCACAAACAAACACAAATAGAGATTGAGACATTAGATAACATCGTTAAGAACATATTCTCAAGTATGTGCGAATGGAACATGATTTTTTTTTAAAAATAATTATGTTTATTATTCGCAATAATTTCTTAGAACATTACTGTAAACCATTCAATAATCAATGTCTATATATTTGCCGTGTTTTTTTAACTTTGATCGTTAAATAACTTGCAATTCTGAATAGACCAAAGGTGAATCTTTGACAATATATGAAGCTCTTCTGTCATGTCATTGATTTAATGACAATAAAATAGATATGTTTCGATTAAGTTAAGAGCTAGTGCATGTCAAAAACGCACGTGTCATTTCCGTTTTCCTAATGACTATATCACTATACACCTTGTTTATAACATTGAATAATTCTTGAGCAAGGTTCATTTGATTGCCAGCCACGATTGTCCTTCGTATCCTTGGTTTAGAATGAAATTGTCTAGGCGTTCAATTGGCTATATGTCAGGGAACATAATGCTTCACAATAATGACAAATTATACAGACAGCGTCTTGTCAATTTTATCGAATGATGGATAAGGCTATATGTGATAAACATCATACCATGTGATTCAGCTGCCAAGTCATGATATCGAGATAATGATAATCGTATTTATTCATGATTGTTTTAAAGATGAGAAGACATGAAAGTACGTTTCTTATTCAACATTGTTAATTACTCAAAAAGTTCGTATGGTATTAAAGATTCATTTTTGTTCACTCTTTCAAATGGATCTCACATCAGAGCAAGGGTTTGGAAGACTTTTCGTGTCACTTGAGGATGTCATATTCTTTTTTCTTCTCAGTCTTGCATTAATCATGTTTATTTACGCATTCGTGGAAATAATAATCAACTCGTTCATTTGTTTACATTGAAATGCAGGATTAGAAACAACTTTAGATTGCTTCCTCAATTCTTAAAATGGCGATAATCAAAATGCATTATAAGATTTTGATCTCTGCATAAACATTTCGAAGAGTTAAATACTTTAGTAGTCTGTCGGTCTGTTTTCTGTTCCTCATATACAACCAAAAAAAATGTAGGGGGTAATCAAGATTTACTTATCAAGATAAATATAAACGAAATTAATGTTCATGAAGATGATTTATGCGATATAAATCATGGTAAACTATTAGAGAGACCTTTTTTTAATATCCGGATTTCTCATTTTATTTTGTTTGATTTGTCATGCCATCAAATATTTTACGTCGCTGTATTAACAATCATTTATAATATCATGTAAACGCCATTAACAATTTAATAAAAAGAGCATATTCTATAATTAAGTTTTCATATTAAAAATACTCTTCAAGTTTGAGTTAAACAGAAGCTGTCAATGATTATGATTCTTCGAGGCTTGCTATACCCTTGTTGGTATCTGTTATCTCTCAACACATATTCCTCTTACAAGTATGAATTGCATCGCTTTGACAGATTTGATATTGACGTGTATAAATCAATGTTTCAAACTACTCTCTCTCTCTCTCACTGTCACTCACACACACAACCACTCGCACGCATACATACACCCACCCACCCACTCGCACTCTCATTCTCTCTCTCTCACACACAACACACGCACACACAGTCCCTCGTTCTCTCTCACACACACACGCACACACTCACTCACTCATTCTCTCTCTCTCTCACACACACACGCACAATACCCACTCACTCATTCACATCTTTCTCATTCCCATACCAACACACACACGCACAACCACTCGCAATCTCATTCTCTCTCTCTCTCATAATCACTCACTCACTCACTCATTCTCTCTCTCTATCTCACACACACACACTCACTTACCCATTCTCTCCCTCACACACACACACACGCACACTCACTCATTCTCTTTCTCTATCTCTCGCTCCCTCCTTCCCCATTGATTTTGCATTTAATGAAAATGTCCCATAGTAAAGTGTCAGTCCATTTGTATCAGCACGCTACGAAGACAAACGGTTCTTTATTAACATGGCGGATTTTGGTATGTTTGGGGTATAGTATAATTTTTATATTGTAGTAATATTTTCAAAGAGATATGTGTAGTAAGGGGGTGAGCGGAACAACTGATTTAACTGGTGTGGCAGTGGGGACAGAGTGTCCGCCTTTCTTTTGGCTTTGTTCTTCCTGTTGGAGGATGTGTTTAAATGAATGGCCCGGCCTGAGGGGATTGTATTTCAAACTATTTGCTTTCTCAAATACCTTCAGGTCTACGTCAATAGATTTTAAAGTGAAAATACACCGTTGAACTTCATTAAATTTTAAAAAAAGTTGAAACACCGACTGAAAGGAAAATTTGAAATTTCCTTACCTAAATAGTTATCTGTCAATATAGCTTCCTTCAAGTAAATGACATTATCATAAAGTTGCACTGAACATCCGTGCACACTTGCTTACAGGAAGCAATTTCTTGATGAGAATGTAACGAATGTCCTCAAATATTCATATTTTTTGCAGAGTATTTGAAGGTGTACTAATATAAGTTTAAACAGCAAGAACTAGTCTCGAAAAACCGATAGTCATAATGAGTAATACGGAGAGGAGGAGTTTAAGTGTTATGATTAAGTTCACCTTTTTCCTCCCAGTCACAGGCTATGCGAAATGATATCACTATCAAAATGCTAATATTAATAATCAATAATCTTCTGATATTAATATCAATGTAAGATATTGTTTGTAATAAACAAAATTATTCAAATTTCATATCCATTCTTATAGTGTGTACTTCTACAGACCGTTCTCTTAAAGGTATTGGATGCATTCCCGAGGGTGGAATTCAGAGTCCATATCTTCAAGAGGAAGGGATAGTGTTGTAACCCTGACCTTGGTTGATAAATTTTGTACTAAACACTATCTCAAACACAATCAATGCTCTAATGAAACCAAGTGTGAAATACACCGTCTGGCGTTGCAACGCGGAACGAAAGGCTTTTGAAGGGAACTTGACCATAGACGTAGCGAAGTAGATATGAATTGATACGACGGGTGCTAATCCGGTATGCCCACATCACACGAAGCGTCATTTCGGTTGCGCTATTATTATCAACACTGATTAAGCCTATGTAGGAAAATGCGTCAGATAGTTGAACACAATGCTTGAACTGTTTTAATTTTTGCATAGTAAGATGTCACATTCACACGGTGTGTCAAAGGCCGCGTCAGTCGGTGACGCAGTCATACGTCAGCACAGCTATTCGTCAGCGCAATGACGCCTCGTCATACCTTAAAACGGGCATTATGAATTTGGAACAACGAATCAGTTGCCAAACGTTGCAAAGTATCTAATATGAAACTTCATCAACTAGAACCTGATGGATAGCAACTACACCAATAGTTCAATATCCAATAGGCCTAGATCTTTTTATTTATTACATTTTGTTCAAATTTAACGACAGAAGAAGGATGCGAATTAACAACGTTTTTTGCTTTGACATGTTGTTATATTTATATATACATTATTCTGGAAGTTGCCAAAATAATGTCTTCTTTTCCGTGTAGGTGTGTCACTCAGCTAGAGAAGTAGGCATAGAATAAAACTATTACAAGTTTTGACTCTATTCACTATTTATACAGTATATATCAGCATAAGATGTTGAAGTAGCCTATTAAAATCCTTGGTATAAAACCCTACCCCCCCCCCCCTTTCTTTCTTTCTTTCTCTCTCTCTCCGTCTCTCTGTGCCCCTTTTTCAATATTCATCTCTTTTATCTCTCTCCCCTGCGATACCTCTTTATCTGTTTACATTTCTCTTTCTCTCTCTCTCTCTCTCTCTCTGTTTCTCTATGTCCCCCTCTTTCTCCATTTCTCCCCCTCCCTCTCTCTCTCTCTCTCTCTCTCTCTCCCTATATCTTTCTCTATACATTTCACTTTACTTTGCTCTTTTTATACACCTTTCTATTTCTCTTTCTGCATCTCCTTCCGTTGTTTTTCTGAGTCAACATGTCTTCCTTCCATCCCCCTTTCTCCCTCTCCTTCGCTTCCACTTTCTAACTCTATTTTGATATGTAAGTTCCTTCATGATCAGTATGTTAGAGTTGGAAAAGGTGTATGACTATAGGGATACAATTTTGCACCTCCAGACATAGAACATACAAAGCTTGGAAAAGAGCCAAAAAAACAGGGGTACCCCAAGAGCTAAAATGTTGCACTTGCATTTCCTCCTGGTATGAGGAATGATTAGTAACATTTCTTCGATTACATTTAAAAAACAAAAGTTTATTCATGTGACAGGATGAGAATGCTATTGGGAATAAAGGGAATGTTGTTTCCATAGCCGAGGTAAGGTAGATAAAAGTGTACGTTTGCACTACATTTGATGCACAGCTCAAATAGGCAAAAGTATTGGAGTGGTATACGTGATACTAAGTATATCAAAGAGTGTGAACAAATCAAGATGAACCCTGGATGCACCAGCCTGCATTTAGCAAAATAAAATCTGGTTCTTGTTCCTCATTTCCGTTGTAGTATCCTTTGTTTTAGATATTGATTCCTTCGGAGATGTGGTGTGTTATTGCCTGCCGTTAGATAAGATCAATGTCTAACACTTCACTATGTATGCACTTCCTTTCCCTTCCCAGGACCATTGTCCCAGCCCTTTGAGGATACCTAGACCAACCAGAGGGACCCTCCCTTGATAAATGTCAAGAAAGGGAAAAG